GGAAGACAAACGAAAAAGTGGAAGACCTAAACAAAACCGCTTTTCAGGTCCTAGTGAAGTCCGAAAGGGGATCCATGTCGCAACAGGAATATCAACATCAACAAAGTTTGAGAGAAACCCTATTTTTGAATGAATAAAGAAATATAAATTGTATAATAATGTTATATTATATCTGTACACTAAAACATTAAGACCTTTGTATAATAATGTATTAAAATAATGCATTATAATACTTTGGTTCTATTCTACATATTAAAAAACAGTAAATAATTTATCTCATATGAGTAGTGGTTGGGTCCCATGTGACCAGCATGTGACCAATGTGACCAATGTGCAATTTTACACTATGTGGATATTGTGACCGGATGTGACCTGTGACCAAGTGATGAAGGTAAATACATGTGGAAACGTACTTTTCAAGCTTTGGTCTATTATTATAAGGTATAAGGAACACAAATATTATGTTGATGACAAAATTACAAAACATTAAAACGAGTTTGTAATGTAAAAAGACCAAAATTGTCAAAATTCTTCATAAAAGACTATGAACACTAATGTATCACATTTGTGAGAACTACTTATGCACACAAAATTTGAATAACTCAATTATTATAGTTAAATATAGTTCAAAATGGTGCATATGGAAGATATGATGACAATCAGATCGATTCATTTGAAAGAATCCACTAAATCGACCCTTGTGACCAACTGTGACCAATTGTGACCCATTGTGACTGAAATATTGTGGGTCCCAGTTTGAACAGTAATATTTCTGGTGGGACCCAGTGTAATCCAAGTGTACAAAAAAGTTACGGTTGACAATTCTTCCCTGATTTTGGTGGGACCCAATATTTTCAACCCATATTTTTTAGCATCCAATATTTTTTAACCCAAATTTTTTTTCCTCCAAAATTTTCCAACCCAAATTTTTTTCCCTCCAAAATTTTTCAACCTAAAATTTGTACCTTCCAATATTTTTCATCCCATATGTTCAGATATAAAATAAACATAAAACATAATATCATAACATAAAATTCTGTAGATTTATAATAAACAAACAAAAGGTCATAACAAAAAAAAATAAGTTCATAACATAAATAAGTTTTTTATTCTACTTCTCAACACTTCCATTGACAAATATGGCGGTTGCAAGGAGACAAACCGCGGGAATGAGATGACTTAACTTCTGAACTACCTTTTCCACATTTTCCTTTAGTCTCGATTGACAATCATAAACTTGGAGCACCTTCTCAATTGAAATCCACTTTAATGTTGTTCTTGCATACTCAAGTGGAATTTTTCCGCTACCTTATTGGCAGTTATAAACTTGGAGCACTTCATATATTATCTCCTCAATGTGCTACAAAAACAAAATATGTCAGCATTCTGGATCATGTCACCATATGACCATGTGATATGGTACCATGTGACCGAGTGACATGGTACCATGTGATCGAGTGAACATGGTTCCATGTGACCGAGTGAACATGGTACCATGTGACCGAGTGAACATGGTACCATGTGACCGAGTGAACATGGAACCATGTGACCGAGTGAACATGGTAATGTGTGACCAAATGAACATGGTACCGTGTGGCCGAGTGACATGATATATGTGATTGTGTAACTTGTGACATGTGACCATGTGACCAAATCTCATGTGACCGTGTAACATGGTACCATGTGACCAAATTAACATAGTACCATGTGATCATATGTTACCAAGTCACCGTGAAACTTGTGACCAAGTGACCTAAGACCATGTAACCAAGTCACCTGTGACCATGTGACCTACTGTCCTGTGAACTGTAACCATGTCACTTGTGACTTGTGACCATGTCACTTGTGACCTGTGACCATGTCACTTGTGAACTGTGACCATGTGACTAAACCGATCATGTGACCTGTGACGATGCCACCTAAATCACTCTGTAACCTGTTACCATGTAACTTAAATAAGCCTGTGACATGTGACTTTTTCACCTTGTGACCATATAATTATGTGACATAAATTACATCGAACTCTATCACCTATATGAGTGTGATCCAAATTATCATATTATTCATCATCCAAATATCGATCCATACATCCATGTGACTCAAATCAACTCGATTTTAACCATTTCACATCACAATCGATTATTTGACTTCAATCCCAATATTTTATTTTGAAATCCAAAAAAATTCGAAAACATAACCCTAAATTTCTATCCATCAAATCCTCATGCCAACACTTAAAGTCAACATAAAAAAATTTCAAAATCTAGCAAACTTGAAAAAAAAAGAAGTAACCTACCCGATGATCGTTTAACTCATTAATTTGTATTCGGTTCTCGATCTCGTTCGAAGATTCGATGAAGATGAGTATTGGGCTGATGTAGAAGTCTTTTTTTTCGTTTGCGACGTTACTTCTTATTTGAATCGCATGAGAGTTTAATAGATAACGAGAGATTCGATTTTTCCAAATTTTGGGTAAAGATTCAACGATTTCGGAAGAGAGAGAAAGAACATATATCAAGAGGTAGGAGAGAGAAAGATTTTCAGAACTAGAAGAGAGATGCATTGTGAGTTTAGGAGAGAGAAATAACCACCTTTTTTGTTTTTTCAATTTTTTAAATTGTGAAAAAGGTTTTTTCGTCTTTTTAGATTTTTATAAGGGTCTAAATGTCTTTTAAATTGTGTAGCACTCTTTTTTTTTTAATTTTGATGTTGGAGGGTATTGGCAGAAGTACGTAAAGCAGTCAGAGGGTACTTTAGATATATCCCCAGATTAATCGGATCTAAAATATTTGGACAAAATTCTCATTATTTATATACACGAAACTGTTAAATAGTTAAGATTTAGCAACTTATGCATACAATTTGATGGAGAATTTGAGAGACCGATGATTGTGGTTTGGATATAGTTTTGGTAAAACGTCTTAATAAGGTAGTTGGCCGCTGGTTGGTTCGTCTCTCCATTTATTTAATTTTAAACATATGATCACTACGCGTTTGTGAGACCATGCATACATATACATACATATATATAATATATAATATATATTATTTTGTTATACTTGTCAACTCGTGCATTGTTGGAATTGAGTTTGATGTCAATCGTGATTCGGATGCATACGTAAATAATAAGATCAAATGAATTTTCCCACGTTTTCTTTTTCTTATGCTCTGTTTCCTTTGGTTTTTTTATTACATGTTCGGCATCTAAACAGGGTTTGATATGATGTCATATCATTTTCTTTCTGCATAATTTTTCTTCATTTAGCGGTCATTTACCGGTTTCTAAGGAGTGTTTTCTTGGATTCTTGGATACCACATTGCATGAATCTCCTAATGATTTTTTTTAGCATTCCTCGAATGACGGGCAAAAGAGCTTGTAATTTAGAGAAATATTTACATATTGCAAATTATGTACACATATATATATATATGTATGAAAATATTTGGAGATGATACTCAGTTAAATCTCCTAGGTTATCCCCATTTACTCTATTAAATGCAATATAGAACCATTCATTACTGCCTATGGATTATGATTAGACTCTACTGAAACAGCTTTGAAGCAAATGAAAGAGTAGGTGTAGTAAAAAAAAATTCAATTTCAACCTTATAACAAAAAACGCTATTAATGTTCTCGAAATACATTGTAATTCTTAATTAGGCAACTAGACAATTGATATGAGTATATAAACCCAAATTATTACAGTTTAAGCATTCGATCATTTAGGTTGAAGTGTTAGGTAAATATAAAATTAATTAGTAAAACAATATATAGTAGTACCACCTTGCTTGCATGCATAATCTAGGAATTCTAAAATGGTCAACAAACCAAATCCAAGTTAACACATGTATGACATAATTAAGTTAATTAAGATACATTTTACTGGTGATCTGTAATATGTAATCCAAAAGTATTCAATTTACTATGTTACTTTATTCACCTAAAACTATATAATTATATATATATGTGTGTGTGTGTGTATATAACCTTAAATTATAGACACTCTCAATTTCCCACTTATTTAGAGCTACACCACTAAAATTTTAATGGTTTGATTCTCACTTATATGAAAAATTACCCCTTGATTCATGACAGTTCTCTGTTGTATACATATTGTAGAGATTAACCGCATTTGTTTTTACAATGAATTTCTATTGGCAACATTCGTTCACTTCACTTGTACATTTGTTTTTAGAATATGCACCCACGAAATGAAAAAATAAATAAAAAGGTACAAATAAAATCATAGCGGAAGAGATTTCGACTTTATTCGGCGTATCCTTATATCATATGGTTTTATCTCTATTCACGAGATATATATACACATCTCCTGATGTCCGCTTGCAGTTTCCAAGTGAGACATCTTATAACTACTGTTTGATTCTCCGACGTTCGTCCCTTGTCTTAAATTAGATACTTTGAGACAAAAAAGGGGAAAAAGAAAGAAAATAGTGGTGATTTTATGGTGAAATGGGCACAATAGAGGTTACATATAATGGCGCATATGAGCCCCATTCAACTCATTAAAAAAATTATTTTCTATATAAATTTTGTAAAATTTTAAATAAAATTATAAAATACCCCCATAAAATTATATTTATTTATAATAAAAATAAAATCGTCCCCAATGATACATTTTCCTAGGTCTGCTACTGAATGAGCATATAATTGATCTCGATCAACAAACATGTGTTCAGAATGACAACACGTGTTGGCTTTTGTTTAAAAAAATCATGGTCGAGGAGATCAAATTAATAACAAAGGGAACAGTCTTTATCGTTTGTTCTATGAATGTGCTGTGTTTAGTCACTATTGGAAATCCAGGCAAAATAGGAAAAAATTTAATGAAATTAGAGGAAATGAAATTAAAGAAAAAAAAAACAAAGTTCACATGAAAATGCTAAAAAGAAAATTAAATACGAAGCGAACCAAGACCGTTGAGTGACGTTAGTCCCTTCATTAATTCCTCTCATCTGCCTCTTTCTTCTTCGTCCTTATATCCCTCTCTTCGTTTTCTCCATTCCCACAAATAATCAAAAAGAAGAAGAAATATTTTGTATAAAAAAAAAGCGAGAGAGAGGAAATACATTTGAGAAGATGCCTCCAACTTTGCCAGAGTTTTCTAGTTCCGTGAAGCTCAAGTATGTGAAATTAGGTTACCAATGCCTAGTCAATCACTTCCTGAGCCTTCTCCTCATTCCGATCATGGCCGCCATTGTTGTCGAACTCCTTCGTATGGGTCCTGAACAGATCCTCAGTCTCTGGAACTCTCTTCACTTCGACCTTGTCCAAACCCTCTGTTCGGTTTTCCTCGTCATCTTCATCTCCACCGTCTACTTCATGTCCAAGCCTCGGACCGTTTACCTTGTCGACTACTCTTGCTACAAACCACCCCTCACGTGCCGTGTCCCCTTCGCCACGTTCATGGAACACTCGAGATTGATTCTGAAGGACAATCCCAAGAGCGTTGAGTTCCAGATGAGGATTCTTGAACGGTCGGGGCTGGGAGAAGAGACGTGTTTGCCGCCGGCGATACATTATATCCCTCCGACGATGGAAGCTGCAAGAGGCGAAGCCCAGATGGTGGTTTTCAGCGCCATGGATGATCTCTTCAAGAAAACTGGCTTGAACCCTAGAGACGTCGACATCCTTATAGTGAACTGCTCTTTGTTTTCTCCGACACCATCTCTGTCGGCTATGGTGATCAACAAGTACAAGTTGAGGAGTAACATCAAAAGTTTCAATCTTTCCGGGATGGGTTGCAGCGCCGGTTTGATATCCGTAGATTTAGCTCGAGATTTGCTCCAAGTTCATCCGAATTCCAACGCCGTGATCGTTAGCACAGAGATCTTAACCCCGAATTACTACAAAGGCAACGACCGGGCGATGCTTCTCCCGAACTGTCTCTTCCGGATGGGCGCCGCCGCCATTCTCCTCTCTAACCGCCGCACTGACAGGTGGAGAGCAAAGTACAGGCTCTGTCACGTGGTCCGCACGCACCGGGGAGCGGACGACAAGTCTTACTGCTGCGTGTATGAGAAAGAGGACAAGGACGGGAAAGTGGGTATCAACTTGTCAAAAGACCTCATGGCCATTGCCGGTGAAGCCTTGAAGTCTAACATCACCACTCTAGGTATATATTTATTCAATCGGTTTCCTTGGAATTTACAATCAATTTAAATAGTAGGAGTGGGTGAAAAAATGGGTCAGGCTTTGTTTATTTTGGGTACAAGATTTGTTTCGGTTCAATTGGATAACCAAGTTTCTCACAGAACTAAAGGAGTTTGATTTGGTTTAATTCGGTTTTGTTTAACTCAATTGCGTCTATATGTCGTGTTAATACCAATACTAAAAATTGAATTAAGTTCATCTCGGGTCCAAATTATCACAACTCGTATTAGAATGAATCTGAAATAAATTTGATTTAGATATGATCTCATTTAATAGGAGAACAAAAAATTCTCACAACATTAAGGTTTGGTTTAATTTGATTTGGTTCAGTTTGGTTCCATATTAATACCAATAAAAAAAATAAATCATGTTAAAACCAATCTAAGTTAATCTAAGTTCAGTTGAAATCCAAATTATAACAGTTTAGAATGAAGTAAAATAACACCGAATTTGATTTAGACATGATCCAATTTAGAAAGGATAACCAAGTATCTCATAAAATCAAAGGATCAAAGGTGTTGAGTTCAGTTTAGTTTGGTCTGATTGAGTTCAGTTTGATTTAGTTCGGATTTGATTTGGTTGGACTAATGTGGACAGGTCCTCTGGTTCTGCCGGCATCGGAGCAGATCCTTTTCCTTTTATCCCTAATCGGTCGGAAAATATTCAATCCGAAATGGAAACCTTACATTCCGGACTTCAGGCTTGCCTTCGAGCACTTCTGCATCCATGCCGGAGGCAGAGCCGTCATCGACGAGCTTCAAAAGAATCTTCAGCTCTCTTCGGAACACGTCGAGGCCTCAAGAATGACACTTCACCGATTCGGAAACACTTCTTCCTCTTCCCTTTGGTACGAACTCAGCTATATCGAGGCTAAGGGTCGGATGAGACACGGCGATCGCGTTTGGCAAATCGCGTTTGGTAGCGGTTTCAAGTGTAATTCTGTGGTCTGGAAATGTAACCGTACGATCAAAGGGCTTACGGATGGTCCGTGGACAGACTGCATCGACCGTTACCCCGTCTATATCCCTGAAATTGTCAAGCTCTGAAAGAATAATCTCAACGGTTTGATCCGGTTTAGATTTAACTGTATTCGGTTTATTTACTTGGGATCTGAAATTCCGGTAAGAGACCGGTATTTGAAATCCTCGCGCAGCAGTAATAATTTGGATGTATCAATAATACACTTTTTACACCTTTTTTTTTTTTTTTAATTTTTTAATCGGGGATATTCGATCTGCCATTTCATGTACTTAATACGAACAAAACATAATTTTACTCTGTGTCGGATTTGGAAAACAAATGTTTCGTACTATGTAACTATTTTTAGTAATCCCACTGTTCATATGTACGAAAGTGTAAAAGAATAAAAAGGTGAATGGTGTAAGGTTAGAAAAAATAGATGCATGTGAGCGATGACTCTATAGGGTTGGCACACAATAATGAGGGGTTACTTAATTTTACGAATTTTTTTCTATATAGGTATCAAGCAAATTTAATGTTGGTAAGAGACCATTCATGTGGTCCGTTCATTAACATTTTGTATCAATATTTTTTTCTCTGCTAATTTTACTAAAACCAACCCATCTCTTGGTCCTCATAATTTGCTGCCCCATATATAGCTAACTTTTGCAATTGTTTTTTTTTAATATCATCGTTTAGCCCCAAAAATCTAATTCTCTAATCCCGATGGTCCAATCCATTAACGATTAAACACGTATCGGATTATAGCGTAATCGAGTTTTGGAATTACGACGGTAAGACGTTCAAGGTACTCTATAATCTTGTTGTCCCGTCTGGTGAGAGAGGCATATTTCCTCTCTCCGAACCCCTTCTCGTTTGATACACTAAGAGTCCCACTCACGATCTTAAATGAGCAGCCTCGAGATTTATCCCCCTTTGTATCTTTTTTTTTATGTTGTATATTCTTTAATCACTCCTATTTTTCACCCCATTCCTTTGAGATATCACTCTTTAGTCAAGGACATCAGGTACATACGACAAACACAAATTTTCACAGAGGAGTCGATCGACCGTCCGCTCATCACGCTGAATAATCGTTCGCAATTTTCATTGCGATCGATCGTTCGCTTCTAGCACAAATGGTCGTTTATCAGGTAAGTCTTTCGATCGATCGGGGCCATCATAATCGGTCAATCGTCGTTAATGTCAATGGCTTCCACGAGAACCCTACAAACGAGCGTTCGACCTCTATTTTTTTCCTTCTTCGTCTTCTCCGCCGCAACATCGTCTCCTCCACTCCCTCCTACCTTTGCCTTCGTCGTCAGCCACCTCCCAACCCCTCCTCTCCACCGGACCAAATCAGCTCGCTTCCGCACCTCGATACTTCTCATCACCGCCCAATCATCGGAAAAGCAAAACCCCCGAATTAATCTCTCATTCTTTCCTTCTATTTTGCCGGAAAAAGTTAGACTATCCTCTCTATATTGTGATTTCGTTGCCATTAGCTATACAGAGGCACGATTGATCGATTGTCTTATAATTCCAATCACAAAATTCGAATCGACGATCGGTCGTTTGTCCATCTTGGTGATCGGTCGTTTGTTTTAACGATCGATCATTCGCCTTATGCTACGATCGATCGTTTGTTCTTCTGAACGAACGATCGTTCGCCCCTATACACGATCGGTCATTTGAAGACATTATTTTTATAGACTGCGATTGACAGTTCGTGGATTACCACGATCGATCGATGCTAATAGGACTTCGTGTTTTTGAGTGATTATAGATGGTTCCCCCTCCACCAAAGCGTGTCCACAAGACACCTGGGACTGGTGGAGCTACCATTTCCTGAGGCATGATTGCACCTCGCATTGTAGGTCGTATCAAACTAACGGAACTCAAACCACATAACGAGAAAATTAATGCATTAATAAATCAATGAATCAATATAAAGTGTAAATGTCATATCACGGATTATCCTAAATCTTCACAACCAACACAACGTGACCCGTGTAATGTATGTTACCCATTACGAATTAATAGTATACAATACTTAATCCTACAGAGATTCTCCAAATGACATTAATTTCCCAACAAACATAGTAAACATATCAAAATACATACTCAACCCGTAAGATTTATAATAAATATCAGTATTTGGGTCGTAACTTATCTATTTGCAAGTTTCTATATGATTTCATAGTGATTTTGTCGACTTTTGCATCGATTTTGTACAATATTGAGGAGAGGTAAAATTAATTAGAGGAGAGAAACTAAAATGGAGGAGAGAGAAATGGGTTTTGGTAAAGAGGAGAGAGAAACATAAAATAAATAATAAAAATATATATTTAATTAATTAAAATGAAAAAGGTAAATTAAGAAATACATATCTAACAGAGTATATTTAAAGGAGATTTTTTTTAAGAGGAGGGTACCCTCCCAAGCAGTGGCGGACCTAGAATTTTTTTCGTTGGGGCAATAGTAATATGTTAATAATTTTATTTTTAGAAAAGATATTGAAAATATGGGGAGAGAAATTTACAAAACATAAATGACATTAAAAACTAAAGGAAAAAAAGAGATTGTTTTGATACTAAAAATGGTGGGGCCACATCTAAATTACAACGGGGGCACACTAAAATTTTTTAAAAGTTACTAAGTAATATTGTATTTTCAATTTTGAGTATAGGGACATTGGACCCCATTCCTTAATTAAGTATGGGGCATTGGACCCCACTCCTTACTAAGTAATATTGTATTTTCAATTTTGTGTATGGGGGCATTGGACCCAAAGTGCAAATAGCAATTAAGGGACAATTTTGATAATACCCTAATTAATTAAAATCGAAAAGATAAATTAGAAAATATATATTTAAGAGGATATAATTGGAAGAAGGAAGAAAATATCCAAAATATCCTCATTTTATTAAAACTCTTTGTCAACATAGCTTTCTCTAGATGTGATCATTTGACCAAAATGACAATATAGACATATGGTGATCACATTTTAAATTTATATTGATTTCACCAAATTATTAGTATGATATGTAATATATTACTATGGTGAATGAGTGTGATCACTATAAATTTAACGTTATAATCAATGTAATCATATAATCATTATGATCATATGGTCTCATATTGAAGAAGGTATGTACAAAAATAGTTTTAGTAAAATGAGAGTATGCTTTGAAGCGTTAACAACATTTGAAGGGTATTTTTGATAATGACCCAATTTAATACAATAATTTTAGGTATTTTTTTAAAGGAAAAAGAAATTTCCCTTTCTTTTTTTTCCACAAATCCTTTGCTTTTCACGTCCTTTTTCGTAAGCTACCATATATATACACACATTTATATAATATATATTTTCAAGTCTACATGCTATCCAAATTTATAAAATTTTATAATAGAAAGTTTATAAATCTTATTGTATTCTAAGTCAATCAAACTTTATTTTAAATTTCATTTTTTTAAATAAAATATACTTCAAGATTTCTTCAAAATCTCTTTATAAATGAGTTATATGAATTGTTCAATTATAAATTCAACAAGTTTATTTAGAAAAAAATATATTTACATTGTTTAATATGACATTTATTATTATAATGTGAGTACATGTTGAAATATAGAAAGCTAAATTTAGAATTATAAGAATATATATATTGACTGTATGTCAAAAATAATTTAAATACTTTATAACTCAAAATGTTAAACAATGATCGACAATGAGTACACTTAGAACAAACGATAAATATAATGTCTATACAATGATATTTGAAAAATTAACATATAAATACCTAAACTTTTATAAAAATCTTACACAAATACCTAAATTATAAAATTCTCGTATAAATGCCTAAACTTTTCAAAACTCCTATATAAATACCTAAACTTTTGATTTTTTTCCAAATAAACCATTTTTCGTTAACGGCGTTTAACGTATAAAAAACCCCCGAAAAAACAGTAATGATTCAGCTTAAAAAATCCTAGTAAACATCCATGTCATGATCTAAGATAGATGAACCGGTTTAATTGAATAACAAAATAATAATCGACCCAAACCGGTTTGATAATAAAATAAACAACCCTAAAATATTCATCTTGTTCGTCGTTTGTTTATCTCCTAGGCTTTTCCTTGTCCTTCTAAATTTCTAATCCTCCTCATGAGAGATTTTTGATAAAAATTTCAACTCTACGCACATAGAATTTTCTTTTTTATACAAATTTATTTGGGATTCTTGGCTAAGTGTGACAAAAAGATGACATGTTTTGCAAAGTGTGACAAAAATGTTGCGACCTTTGCAAAGTATACCTTTTTTTATTTTTCTAAAATGCCCCTGAAACGGGTGCGTCACGTCGAGAACAAAATAGAACCGCCATTTTGTTTCTCTCTCCAAAACTCATTTTTTAAAACACAAAGAACAGTTAGGGTGAAGACAATTTTAGGGCGAAACACAAGAATCCAGGCGACACACGAATCCCGACGACACTCAAAACAAAGATTATACATTCCATAACAGGTATGTTATTCGTTTATTTTAACGTGTTTGAGGTTATTACGATTCGTGTCCCGCAAAGTATGGTTGTACGTGTTTGAGGTTATGTCGCCTTTTCGAGAGAGGTTGTGGTTTGGTTGTACGTGAATGGATTTCCCGTAAAGTATGCGTGCTGAAGATTTTAATATTGGTTACCGTAACGTATGGCTCCCGTTCTCCACTGTAGTATCCGGACAAGTATACTACATTCCCTGTGTTGTGGTGAAGTATCCGGTTGCTTAGACGTTGCTTAATGTCCGGATACATTTGGTGATCTTATAAGAGTGGTAAGGGTTTATCCCCGGACGCATATAGTCCAGGTATATACCCGGACGGCCGGCCGTTCATATTATCCGGAATGTTAAATATATGTCCTGCAGATTGCTTTTGTATTTCCGGTTATTCCATCCGGACGGTTATTCATATACATATTATCCGGATATCTTCATACATGTCCAGGATATTGCTTTGTATCTGATGACATATAAATATTGTCATATTTTCACATTGGATGTCTAGCTCATTTCACGATATTTTGCATATTTATAGATATCCCTTGTACATTTTATTTCGACTTCGATGTTTTTAATATTTTGCAGGAAAATTGAAGCTTTGGACGAAAATGAGGCAATTTCCGAGAAAAAAGACATGACCCGGAACCAACCCGAAAATATTCTGAGTACCAAAGAGTCAAAGAGGAAATGCTTGTCCGATGTTGATATTACGAGTCCCATAACTTCTGCAATACCGATCCATAT